ACACTGTGCCAGTGCCTTGGGGCCCCATACAGGGACCAGAGGCATGGAGTTGGGGACTAGATCCCCCTCCCACAACCAGGCCCACCATGCTAGCACCTCAGGGCCCACCCGTCCAGTGACCCAAGGCATGGAGCCGGGGACCAGACACTCCCCACAACCAGGCATACCAAAAGTACCAAGAAGCATGCCAAAAACATCACCTCCATGTGGGTGGCCCACCACAGCCAACACAATAACCATGGCTGCTGTGAAAGCAGCTAGACGCCCAAACCACCAGGCAGATGGTCCACCAGCCACTGGAGTGCATTGACACAAGGAGAGTCAGTCACCAGCAGAGATAAAGAAAAGAAGAGGATGTCTCTCTCCACAAAGCCCATTTCAGAGTGACAAAAAAAAAAGCATCTGTTCTATGATAATATTGGGGGACCTGATCACACCTCTCAGCATTGGACATATATCATCTAGGCAACAAATCAACAGAGTAACCATTATTCTTTCAGAAGGAGAGAGGAAATCTAGGGTAATTAGAGGGGGAGGGGTGGGAGTGGGAAATGGGGAGAGATTGGACAAGGGGCCTAAAGAATAATTATGATGTGTAACAATATATATGCTAGTAATATTGATTTGATCAACATATCTCAACGTTGAACCCCCAAAATATGTATAATCAATTTTGATTCAATAAAAATTAAAAATAAATAACTAAAAAGAAAACAATTACTGAAAAATATAAAATAAGACCAGAATAGAGAAATATTTCATGTTCCTGTGCAGAAAGACCCAGCATTATAAAGATGCCAGTTCTTTCGAACCCAAATCTTATGAAACTCACATCAAAATTCAAATGGAAGAGTAAATGTTAAAATAGTGGTAAGTCATGTACTCACTCATAAGTGAGAGCTAAGAGAGAAAGAAGGAAAGAAAGACCACAGAGGGAGAGAGCATACCTAGGGATACAAAGTGGAGTGGGGGAAAAGGGGATGCAGAGGGAGGTTGGGGATAATTGGGTGGAGGACACGGGTACAATCACAATTTGTGATAATGGGCATGCTGCCAGTATGGATCTGGCCTTCACATCTTGGGCACAAGGGGTGATAATCAGCTTTGTATCTCAGGAATATTCATAGCCAATAAAAATAAATAAATAAAATAGTGGTAAGACAACTCTATGTAAAAGAACAAGAACAGGAGACTTGCCCTATCAGATATCAGTACTGTTTCCCTCTTATGAGTAGATCAAGTACCATTTCTCACATTTAAAAAATCTTTTATAGACTCTTCCCATTTTTCTACTAGGTATGTTTCTTTTTTGATGTGAAGGAGTTCACTACATGGTAGAAAAATTACCTCTTTGTGATATTAAGTAAAGGAGCAGTAGTTGGAGGTATCTTAGATTGCAGGAGGGTCCTTCCCACTCCCTTAAGATAGGAAATGTTATAGCATGTTTGTGTGATAATGGTAATGATCCAGTAAAGAGAGAATTTGATCATGCCAGAGAGAGAAGGGATAGCTGTAAGAGCAAGACCCTTTGTGGACCAGAAATAATGAGATTTGGCAGACATAGGGAAGACCTGGTCTTTGACAGAACAGTGACAGTTACTACATTATAATATAAGGGAAAGCAGAGTTTTGAAGTAAAGATACAATTACACAGGTAGATGTGAAAGTGGAAGGATAAGGAAGTTTTCTTCTGGGTGCTTATATGAAATATGAAGTGAGGTCATCAGTTATGACTGAAGAATAGATGACAAGTGAAGGAGGTTTGAAGAGAGGGAAAAATTTTCAGAATGTGAGAGTAAATTAATTAGGGAAATGTAGTAGGACTGCAGGCAGGAGTGAGGACCATCTGAGATTCATGGTCCTAAGTTAAAAGACAGCACAATTTTGTGCTTTTCTCCAGTCATGTTTTGCTTTTTAAGGAGTAGGAATGGAAATGACAGCAGAGCTTGGGTGAACCAGTGTTGGGATTTTGTCAATGAAGGAGGAGGGAGCAAAGGACTGGAACATATGTGCAAGGAAGTGAATATCATGACAAACCATGGAATCTAAGCTTACAAAAGCAGAAAAATGGGGACACAAGGGGGCAACAAGTGGTAATGTCTAACTATCCGTCAAAATGAGGTTGAATTGTTAGAATAGAGATGAATGAACTGAGGGTTGCAGGCAGAGAACTGGATGATTTAAACAGAGACTTTAGAGGTGATGAAGGTATTATCTAAAGTATTATCCTGGAAGCAAGTAACTGAGCTGAAGTGGAGGGCAGGATGGTTAGAAAGAAAGAGATCAAAAAACTATAAAGGTAAAATCATCAGTGTGTGGCCGGCCCGGTGGTGCACTGCTACAGTGCGCTGCTTGGGAGCGCAGCGGCGCTCCCGCCGAGGGTTCGGATCCCACATACAGACCGGGTCCCGCTCACTGGCTGAGCGAGGTGCAGGCGCAACACCGAGGGTTGCGATCCCGTTGCTGGTCCCGGTCCGGTACGGGTGCGACACTGAGGGTTGCGATCGTTGCCGGTCACGAAAAAAGACAAAAAGGAAAAAAAAAAAAAAATCATCAGTGTGGATTGTGCACATCACTAAGAATGACCATGTGAATAATAGTAGCAAAGAAGACAATAGGTCTGGCACTAAAATATTCGTTGATGAAAGCCAGATTGATGAAGACAACACAAGATGACTATAACATAAGGGACAGGCAGTAAGTTAAATAGTCTGATATAGCAAGAGCTTCAGGAGAGCAGACAGGTAGAGATCATTTATGTAAAAAAAATTTAAACACAAATGCTTTTTAAAAAACATAAATTGTAGAATGAACATAAACTGGAAATGTACAACAAAATTCATAATTAGATTTGTATAAGAAGAGAGGGAAAGTAAAACGTTATGATAAAGTTGAACTAGCAAGGTGAACTTCAACTCTCTCATAATGTTCTATTAATTCACTAGATGGTGGACTTAAAAAAACAAAGAAATAAATATCCTATCTATGCTTATGGGGAAAAAAACCCCAATCGTTATTTAATTACAGTAGTCCCCCAACCTAATCCACAAGGGATTTTTCCAAGACCCCCAGTGAATGCCTGAAACTGTAGATAGTACTGAACCCTATGTATACTATGTTTTTTCCAATATATATACATACCTATGATAAAAGTTTAGTTTATAAATTAGGCACAGTAAGAAATTAATGACAATAACTAATAATACAATAGAACAATTATAACAGGATTCCAGCATCACTACTCTTATGCTTTCAGGCCATTATTAAGTAAAATAAGGGTTACTAGAACACAGGCACTGTAATACTGAGGGAATCTGATAACAGAGATGGCTACTATGTGACTAATGGGAGGATGGTGTGGAGAGGCTGGATAAAGGGATGACTCACATCCCAAGCAGGATGGAGCAAGCTTTCATCACACTACTCAGAACGGTGTGAAATTTAAAACTTATGAATTGTTTATTTCTGGAATTTCCCATTTAATATTTTTGGACCACAGCTGACCAAGGGTAGTTGAAACCGAGGAAAACGAAACTGTGGATAAAGAGGGACTACTGTACTACTCTTTAGAATCAGCTCTTCTATTTTTTTAAAAATGTCATATTATCATACATAAAAAGGGGTTATTCAATATAAAAAAACATTTTTCTCAGTTTAACGTGTTTATAAGAAGCAGTCTATTGTATATTTGGGCACACATAATCAGGACACCAAATCTCAATTTGTGGAACAACTGTCAGAATGAACACTTGGTAATCTTGAAGAAATAAGCAGTATTCAAAGTAAGACTGACACTTGAATTAAAGAATACAATAGCTTATTACTAAAATTGCATCTTTAATCACATATAAAAATATACAAAGCCTTTATATAAAGTTTATATGCAAAACCAAGTATATGTAAGAATTTCAAATAAGTAACAAGGTTCTTTTCTTTGACACAAAAGGTGTAAGACACCATCCCTGTCCATTAGAGAGGCTGAATACTATTAAGGAAATAATTCAGTTATATTGGAGTAATTAATAAACCAATGAGCAGATAATAAAGATGTATCATCAGAGGATGGTATATAGATTCTAAAATGTAATTCGTATTTAACTTGGTATGATTAGCAGTGGTAATGAATCTTCGCAGTTTTAAAATGGGAAACATTGCTGTTTATAAAATCACAAATATTTCTAAAATTCTACAATTTAAAAAAGGCACACTCAAAAGCAGATTACAAAGAGTACATTTGAGAACTTCATTACTTATGGGTTCCTCTAATATTAACTCAATGCAAAGAAGAAATACACTTTCATTTTTCAGCCAACACAAATACATTAAAAAATACATTTAAATCTCTCCTCAGCTTGTATATTAAAAAAACAGAAAATCAAATAAAAATTTAAAAATACATTAGTACTTTAATAACAATTAAATTCTATGCAACACAATTAAATTGCATACAAATATGGTTAGGCAGTACACTAGGACCTTACAGTACAAAGTGATGAAGCTGAGAATATAGACAATCCCTTAAATTTTAGAAATATTTTAAATTAGTGTTTCTCAAAGTGCAGTCCATGAACCGCAGCACCAGAAGTATCAGGATTACTCTGCTTGTTAACAGAATAAACTGCTTGTTAAAGCAAATTTCTGTGCTCAATCACAAAACTATTAGAACAAAACAAGAATATGCATTATTTGCAAATATCCTTTGGTAACTGATATTTACATAAAAGTTTAAGAATTAATGCCTTAAATGTTAAGAATCAATGTCTTAATTAATTACAACTGTAAAATCTTAAAGGTGAAAAAGGATCCTACCTTCTTACTATGAAGATTCTGACTTTAAACAGATTTTTAAAAACTATTAGAATAAAATGTTTAATAATTCCTTTGAAAATATCTTTATGTTAAAATTTTTTATATTATACTATACCAGCAACATTTCATTTAAGTGCATCATATCTAAAGAAATAAGATAAATTTAAGTAAACTTAAGCAAACAGACTTACAGTTGGTGATATCAGGTGGTGCATAGCCATCATTCATATACATACTTGTGGGTTTTGCCACTTTCAAATAAACAAAATCAGATGTGTTCTTTAAGGCAGTTACTGCTTCTTCATGAGTAACTTCCTCTAAACATACACTATTCACCTAAAAGAAAAGCCCAAAGACGTCTATTTTATGAGATTCTCACTTGCTTTCTGATTTTTGGTTATAAACAATCACACCAAAAGATAGGGAAAATAAGAAAATGATTTAAGAAAAATAAGGGTGGATGGAAAGAAAATACCCATTTTTGTTGTCTATGATAGCTGGAAGTTGTTTATGATGATGTGAAATAGTTCATGGAATTGTTAACAGAATATCCAATCTTAATTACACCCCTATTCCTCCTATTCCCCCAGCCTCAACCTTCTCCCACTCTTAGGCATTTAGGAATGCGTGGGAGTATATTTTAGTCTTTTTTTTAAAGAAATGGGACCATATTAAAATTTTTGTTCTACAAATAGATTTTTAATCTAAAGTATCTTACAGATTGTTCCATGTTGGGACACACAAAACTGGTGCACAGAACCTCATTGTGTGGTTATGTCATAATTTATTAAGCCATTCCTATATTAATAGATATTTAAATTGCTCTCAAATGGCTTTAGTAAATTTACACTCACTACCACAGAATAAGGGAGTAACAATCTACTTATAGACTTGGCCAACACTGAATATTTCTGATTTTTAAACAACTTTTGTCTTTTTCCGTGTCCGGCAACGGATTGCAACCCTCAGTGTTGCCCCCGCACCGGACACTGATTTTTAAACAACTTTTGTCTTTTTCCGTGTCCGGCAACGGATCGCAACCCTCAGTGCTGCCCCCGCACCGGACCGGGGATCGGCAACGGGATCGCAACCCTCGGTGTCACTCCTGCGCCTCGCTCAGCCAGTGAGCGGGAACCGGTCTGTATGTGGGATCCGAACCCTCGGGTGGGAGCGCCGCCGCGCTTCCCAAGCGGCGCACCATCCAGTGCGCCACCGGGCCGGCCCTACAACTATACTTTTTTGAAGTTGTTACAATAAGCAAACGGAAAGGACATTCTTGGGGGGGAGGGGAGAGAGGCAGGAGGGAGGGAGGTGTCGGTGATGGGCCATAATAATCATGTATTGTATATTGACAAAATAAAAATTTAACGAAAAAAAAATAAATAAATAAAAGTCTATAAAATGATGCATGCTTACAATTTGTACATTGATTACACATATTTTTAAATTTGTACTTCCATTGTTAATAGTCAAGTTGAGGCATTTTTTAATTGTTTATTGGCCATTTATCTATCTTCTGTATAGAAATATAATGGATTTTTAGGTAGTGCTGTTGGATCCTGCAACCTTGCTGAACTCATTTATTAGTTGTTTTAGTATGTTCCTTTCAATTTCTTATATACTGTATTATGTCATCTGCAAATATAGTTTTATTTCTTCCTTTCCAATCTGAATGTCTTGTTCTTTTCTTATTGCCTTGGCTAAAATCTCCAGTACAACACTGAACAGAAGTGGTAGTCTGTCTTTCTAGGAATTTGTCTATTTCACCTAAATTATCTAATACATCGGCACACAGTTGTTTGTAGTATTCGCTCATGTTCCCTCTTTCATTCCTGCTTTCAGAAATTCGAGTCTTCTCTCTTTTTTCTTGGCCAGTCTAGCTGAAAGTTTATCAATTTTGTTGATCTTTTCAAAGAACCAACTTTCAGTTTTGTTGATCTCCATAGTTTTTCTATTCCCTATTTTGTTAATTTCTGCTCTAATCTTTATTATTTCCTTCTTTCTTCTTTCCTCAGGTTTAAATTGCTCAATAAAATTTTTTTGCAAAAAAAGAAAATATCAATGTTGCTGTTTTAAATTATAGTGTACTAAAATATTAATTTTAATATATTTTTCATTTCCCTAATTTTTACATTATAATTGTCAGTAGAAGAGTTTTTAATGTTTTGACAAAAATTTTTAAAGGTCACGGAAGAACTGTAATTTTCCCCATTAATATTGCATTGCAAGGTTTTAGTAGCATGGTCACTTTTATGGTCCCACACTACCGTGTAAAGTAAGGACTACCTGCATTTTGAAATACATAGCTGTGACTGGCCAGCTGGCAAAAAAAAAAAAAAAAAAAACAGTTGTGGGATACTGTTCTTTTGGTGGCCTGCAATGAGCCATGCATCCTGGTATTCACACCCTTGTACAATACCCTCCTACACTGAATCTTGCTTGACCATGTAACTAGCTTTAGCCAATGAGATACTCTGTAACTGTGATGCAAAGAGGGGATTGATAAATGCCATACATTGGAGCTTGTCCTCTTGGAAAGATCACTATTGGAACCTGGACACCAACGAGTGAAAAGCCCAACCTAGCCATGAGGAGAGGTCACTGGAGAATTAAACATCCGGCTAACAGCCCCAGTTGAGCTCCTGGCTGACAGCCAACAACAACTTGCCTATCATATGTGTGAGCCAACTTGGAAGTGGATTGTCTGGTACTAGTTAAGCCAACCCAGTTGATACTATGTGGAACAAAGACAAGTCATCCCTGCCAAGCCCAACCCAATTTGCAGATTATAAGCAAATACATAACTGTTGTTGTTTTAGCCATTTTTTGAGTTTTCTTATGCAGCATTAGATAACTGATACAAGAGCTGACAAAATTTGCTGAGGAAATCAATGTAAAGTGTGAAAGAAAGATGATGATCCCAAAGTTTCAGACCTGAGCAAAGTTATTTGACTATTTACCAAAGAGTCTTAACCTACAGTTTTAAAAACAGTGATGCTGGAGGTGAGCACTGACAAAGAAGAGAAAATGTATAAGGACTGAGTACCGGATCACTTCAATGTTTAGAGGGTAGGGAGATGAGGAGGCATCAGAAAAGGAAAATGAGGAGTGGCTAGTGAGATAACAGGAATATCAAGATAGAAGGTGACTGTTAGGCAAAATGAAAAAAGTGAAGGAAGAAGGTAGGTCAAATGTAGATAAGTCAATTAAGATAAGGATTGAGAATTAAATAATTTCAGTGCAAGTATGAAAACAAAAGCCTTACTATATGTGGATTCAAGGGAGAATGAGAGTCCTGCCATAATGGTAAATAAGCACAAGCTGCCGGCTCCCTACAACCAACTGGTTTGAGAAAAACCATAAAGGAAAACATGGTATCCAAGAAATTACAAAATAAAAGTGAGAAACCTAGTGGAGCTAGAAGTCTGTTTTAAAATTTATTTTTAGTTTTAATTGACACATTGTAACTATGCATACTTATGGAGTACAATCTGATGTTTTGAAACATATATAATAATCAAGCTAGGGTAGTTTATGTATCAATGTTTTGACTGATGTTTGTGTAGGCAGTGAAGGTGACAGGGTGTTGGCTATAGTCTGGGGAGAGTGGTGATCATAGATGTGAAAGAATAAGTCAGAGAAGAGTAGTTCAAGTTCTGCTCTCCTTTTTCCCATCATTAATTAAAAAAAAAAAGTAATAAAAGAAAAAGAGAGTGGGGCTGGTAGAGAAAATGGAAATGGCAAATAAAGATAATACCAAGAATTATTTTTCAGGTTTTGATAGAGCAAGGCTAGTATTCACTCATTTAAACATCATATGAACATTTTTGGTATGCAGAAATTCTAGAGTTTGTCAGAAAAAAATAGATATAAGAATGATGTTAAAAACAACAGATTTCTTAGACTTACAGCTAGAAGTTTATCGCCAATCTGAAGTTTACCATCCTTATGTGCTGCACCTCCTTCAATTATTTTGGTTACATAGAT